GCCCATGGGTTGCCGTTGATAATGTCGAGCAAGGATCGTCACGTATTTGAGTCCTTCGGTGGTGGTGGGAGGAAGCTTCTCCAAGCTCCCATTGGTGGCATTTCAGTGAGCCAGATGGTGGTTGTGGATAAGGAGGGAGGTGGGAACTTTACAAGCATCAATGATGCCATTGCTGCAGCTCCTAATTCAACTAATGGCGTCGTACTGGAAACAGCTACTTTGTTATATATGTGATAGAGGGTCTCTATGAAGAGTACATTTCTATCCCGAAGAACAAGCAGAACTTGATGATGTCGGAGATGGAATCGGCCGGACGACCATTACCGGGAACAGGAGCGTCGTTGATGGCTCCACCACTTTCAATTCCTCCACGTTAGGTACGTTAGCCCCATTAAAAGTTAACTTAGAGTAGCTCTATCTCTTCAAGACATTTAATAGAACATTTGGCTGAAGGGAACTTTCTTTTCACATCTCGGTGAGGCATTTCGTCGAACAGTTGATATGCACCCAAAACTTACAATCTTCTTTTTCTCTCGCAGCCGTCGTCGCCCCAGGATTCGTCGCCGTGGGAATGACGTTCCGGAACACGGCGGGGCCATCAAAGATGCAAGCCGTCGCGGTTCGGAACGGCGCCGACATGTCAGCATTCTTCAACTGCAGCTTCGAGGGCTACCAGGACACACTCTACGTCCACTCCTTACGCCAATTCTACCGCGACTGTACTATCTACGGCACCATCGACTACATATTCGGCAACCGCCGCCGTTGTTTTCCAGAACTGCCGGCTCATGTCCTCGGCTCCCTCTGCCCAACCAATTCAACGCCATAACTGCACAGGGCCCGAACCGACCCGAATCAGAACACTGGGATCTCGATCCAGAATTGCACAATCAAGGAAGCGAAAGATTTGGCTTTAAGCAATGGTACGACGAGATCTTACCTGGGTCGGCCGTGGAAGGCGTATTCGAGGACGGTGGTGATGCAGTCGTCGATCGCCAGTTTCTTAGATCCGGCGGGTTGGGCGCCGTGGTCCGGTAACACTTCGCTGGACACGCTTATTATGCTGAGTTCAATAACACAGGCATCGGGGCGCTGACCGGCGGGAGGGTGAATTGGCCGGGTTTTCATCTGATTAACGAGACCGACGCCGGGAATTTCACGGTGATGAACTTTACTCAGGGGGACATCTGGTTGCCGGCGACCGGCGTTCCGTTTGATACTGGGTTGTTGGTATAATTAAAGTGGAATGTACAGAAATTGAAGTGGTTGTCAAATCGGAATGTTTATATTGTTCCTTCACGTGAAGAAGTTCGTGAAGAGGGATTGCAAAGGGAGACTTTGAAATTTTTTGCGGGTGTGTTCAGCGACGTGCGCGCCATTATTATTTGGGATATGGAGAAATAATGGCTGTTTTAGTAATTTAGTGTTGGTCGTGTATTTTGTTTTATCCTATGGAGAAGGGAAGGGAAGAGAAGCTAAAAATGATTGAATTCGTTATAAAAGGAAATAAATTGAGATGATTAGATTGATGAAAGTAATAATTTACCAAAAAGAGAAAGATGCATGAAAGGAACGAATTCATCGACTAGAAAAAACCATTTTTAAATCCTTGAAATTAATAAGTAATAAGAAACTGTTTATTTCAAAAACCGACACAAACTCGACGCGTTAGTCCGTAAGCAACTAGAATACCGACGAAAGAGCTTGTTAAGAACTTACTTGGGCAGCTTTGAAGAAGCTCTGAGGAGCAAAGACACTACACTTACGCTGGGAAAGCAAAAAGAAAACCAACATCTCTAAGATAGTCACGCCAGCGATTGTAGTTTCTTTCGACGGAGTATGCCAGATGACCAGTATCGAGTTGCCACAAAAAGCCACGACAAAGAAAAGAAAAAGACATTAGCAAGCTTCAACAGAGCATGCTTAATTGCTTTCATAAATTTGTAAAAGCGAATAAAATCAAACTATCACCTGATAGGTCGATAAACTTCTTTCAATTACTTTCATACCATCTAAGCACCTGCAAAATGATCAACCAAAAAAGCACGACTATGATGCTAGAAATCTCTATCACAAGAGATTAAATATTGCCTTTGAGGCAAAGTTGATCTTATAAAAAAATACCCCACTAACGGTATTATCCACCTCTTGTAAGTACAGAACACTCACAATCAATGCATGATACTCATCTAGCAAGTGAATAACTCCTGAACTTTACCCCTAGGTGATGAAGGGAAGAATTGAAATCACCATTAGTTAACAAAAAGTTAAAGTACATAGGTAGGAAATTTAAACTGATAGAAGGTGTGCAACTAACATAGATGGTGTGACAGTTGCTAGACTTACCATAACGGGAAAAATTCTTAGCTCCAACCAACCACGTGTCAGTTTGTTATTGGCGATTTCACCATTTTTTAATATTTTAATTCTTGATTTACTTAGGATAATTAAATATTAAGAAAAAAGTAAGGTGAATCCACCAATAACAAACTGACACGTCGGACGGTTGGAGCTTCTGCATCCAACCAAGATTGGAGCTAAGAATTTTCCCCATAACGGTACCTTGCGGGGAATTTAAACTAATGTTAATCGTGATGGAGACAAGGAAAGAGGACTGTAAATACGAAATTAAAGCAATCAAAGGAGTAGATGCTGCTTGATATTCCTTACCTCAAAATAATCTTGTGGTGATTAAGGATAATTAACAAAAATTTAGCAATAGACAAAAATCTCAATAGTAACGAGTTGATAACGCAAAAAATTTCTTTGGATGGCGGAGAGGCGGACCTTGTGAATCCACAAGGCCGCCCCTCCCAATGAGTATCATAAGTTACAACTGTCGTGGGTTGGGGAAAACCACGACAGTGAAAAGGGTAGCTGAGCTATACTCAGAGAACAAGACCTCGACATTGTCTTCTTAATGGAGACAAAGAAACAAGAGCATGAATGGGAAGAGGTAATGGCAGAAATGGGATGGGAGAAGGGCAAAGGGGTTGGATCGAGAAATCGAGCAGGGGGGCTACTGTTAATGTGGAAAGAACATGTTCATGTATCAATCAAGGATTTTGAGGATAACTATATTGACGTAGCAATTGACAAACATAACCCAAAAAAGGCATGGTGCTTATCTAGAATATATGGATGGCCATAACAGGGAAATAAAAAGAAGACCTGGGAGTTGATCAGAAGACTAAAGGGATATAGTGATCTGCCATGGCTCATGATGGGTGATTTTAACCAAGTATTGGGCTACGAAGAAAAGAATGGGATCAGACTACCTGATGAGCAATGTATGGAAGGATTCAGAGAGGCATTGGATGATAGTGGAATGGAGGATTTGGGATACAATGGTAACATGTTTACATGGGACAATGGTCGAGAAAATGAAGACTTTTGGAAGAAAGACTAGACCGCATGATAGCCAATTATGATTGGAGAAGTAGATTTCAAGAGGCTCAAGTTTACCATCTGACTAGATGGGTATCAGATCATCTACCGATCAAATTACAACTAAAACTAGAGGCTGATCGGATTAAATGGGGTTGGCACTTCAGGTTTGAGTCTTTCTGGCAAAAACATGAAGACTGCTCGCCATTAATTACCCATGAATGGAATAAAGACCCCAGCTTGGGACTCGAAGCTCGAATCAAAGGCGGTGAAAAGAAGCTTATAGAATGGAGTCAAATGAAATTCGGGGACATAAGGAGGAGGAAAAAAAGACTGATAGAATCCTAGAGAAGAGTGGGTTTCTCTAAATCTAATGGCTCCCCCGAAAGCTCCAAGAGTCGATGGTCTCCCAACTCTTTTCTTCCAGAAAAATTGGGCAACAGTGGGGCCTTTGGTTGTTGCAAAACTGTAGAAATGTTTCCTGGAAAAAGTTATAACACATGAGATAAATCAGACACTAATAGCGTTAATCCCAAAGGTAAAACAACCAACAAGCCCAAAGGAGTTATGCCCTATTAGTCTCTGTCGAGTCATCTACAAGATCTTTTCTAAACTGCTGGCCAACAGACTTACGAAAGTTCTGAATGTAGTGATTCACAATACTAAAAGCGCATTCGTGCCTAGGAGACTCATTACAGATACTATCATGGTAGCATTTGAATGCTTTCATGCTATGAAAATTCGTACAGAATGAAAGAAAGCTTTTGTAGCAGCGAAGTTAGATATAGAGAAAGCATATGATCGTGTGGGATGGGCTTTCTTGGCAAAGGTTATGCAGAAAATGGGGTTTGCACAAGGATGGATTGACATTATGATACAATGGAGCCCTATTGAATGGATATCAGACTGAGGTTATTCAACCAACAAGGGGAATCAGGCAAGGTGATCCACTATCACCATACTTGTTTCTTTTGTGCGCTTAAGGCTTATCATCATTGACCGAGAAGGCAGTACGGGAAGGCGAACTACATGGCATTAAGATTTGCAAAGAAGCCCCTATGATTACACATTTGTTGTTTGCTGATGACAACATATTTTTCTTTGAGAATAAAATACAGGAATGGGAGACTTTGAAAGGGATCTTGGATACTTATACAGCTGAATCGGGACAACAAGTCAGTTTGGTGAAATCCGAGTTATGGATGGAGCACAACGGAAAGAAATGGCACAACTACTAGGAATGAAACACGTTCTGCATTACGAAAAATATTTGGGGCTACCAACAGTCATTGGGAGGTCCAAAAAGGAAGTTTTTACACAGCTCATTGATAAGGTGCGCAAGACAGTGAAATTGTGGCAAATGAAACTACTCTCAAATGCCGCTAAAGAGGTTCTGATCAAAGAGAGTGCTCAAGCTCAAGCAATGTATGCTATGTCAGTGTTTCTCATACTGCAAGGGGTGATCAATGAGATGCATAGCATAATTTCTGGATTCTAGTGGGGCAGTAAGAATGGGGAAAGAAGAATACACTGGACGAAATGGGCCAAGTTGTGCAAGCCAAAAAAAGAAGGGGGAATGGGATTCCTCGATCTACATGGATTCAATTTAGCTTTATTGGGTCGACAAGTCTGGAACCTCCTGCGAAATCCATCCAGCCTGGTAGCAAGAGCTCTGAAAGCAAAATACTACCCCCACACAAACATTTTGGAAGCCGAGGTGGGAAATAACCCCAGCTATATATGGAGGAGCACCATGGCCGCGAAGGGGCTGGTAAAGGATGGAACAAGATGGAGAGTAGGTGATGGGAAAAGCATTATTATCTGGTGGGATAGGTGGATACCAGAAGCATAGAATTTCAAGTGCAATCCATAGTAACATGTATAGGGATGAATGCACGGGTGGTGGATTTGATTGATCAGTCGAATTGATCATGACGAAGTAATTTACTACAACAACACTTCCAACCTACTGATCGAGAATGGATTAAGTCAATCCCCATCCCGTTTTGACCAAGACCAGACAGATGGTGCTGGGGAAAGGGAAGAACATGCTACTACTCAGTGAAGATGGGATATCATGAATGGAGATTGAAGCAATTGAGTGATCAACCGGAGCATTATGAGCCAATTGACTGGAAAAGATTGCGGCACTTGAAGATCCCACCGAAAGTGAGAGTCTTTGTGTGGAGATGGGGTTCCAACATACTACCTATGAGAGGAAACCTAGCTAAGCAGATACCAGAGGAGGATGAGGATTGTCCTTTCTGTGGGCTTGTTGAAACGCAAGAGCATATAACCAAAGAATGTGATTGGGCAGGGCGGATTTACAGACCTAGCTTCCGAAGGAAGATGTTCGAAATGGGTGAGGATCACAACTGTGCAAATTGGTTGTGTGAAAGTGCTGAAAAATGCAAAGGATGAGGAGATATGTGAATTCCTAAT